TGTCCTCATTGCAACACAACGTCCTTCGACACCCTTTCCAGTCTCTGGCCGTAACAGCACTGGTTGTACCGATCGTTTATATCATCATAAATGAGTTTATTCGTGCATCTGCTCGCATACCAGGATTCAAGGGTCCCCGTGGTCTCCCTTTAATCGGAAACCTGGTACAAATTCGCAAAAATGCGGCTGAACAGTACCGTATATGGTCGAAGTCCTACGGGCCTGTCTACCAAATCCAACTGGGTAATATACCTATCATAGTCGTCAACTCAGCTGCCGCAGCCAAGGTCCTTTTTGGTCAAAATGCACAAGCCCTCAGCTCAAGACCCGAGTTCTATACTTTTCACAAAGTAAGTGAAAGATCAATATCCTTCCTTCCCTAACTTGGTCTCTCCTCGACCCCAAAGTAACCGCCTTGAACAGATTGTTTCGAACACCGCTGGAACGACAATCGGAACTTCTCCCTATAGTGAGTCTCTGAAAAGGAGAAGAAAGGGCGCTGCATCGGCTCTCAACCGGCCATCAGTTGAGTCTTACGTGTCGCACTTAGATGTGGAGACAAAGGCGTTTGTGGCAGAGCTTCTTGAATATGGGAATGGCGGAAAGACACCCGTGGATCCTATGGCAATGATTCAGCGTCTTAGTCTGAGTTTATCTTTGACGCTTAATTGGGGAGTGCGCGTAGCATCACAAGAGGAAGATCTGTTCGATGAGATCACGCATGTGGAGGAGGAGATCAGCAAATTCAGGAGCACCACGGGCAATTTGCAGGACTACATTCCACTCTTGCGGCTGAACCCCTTCAGCACCAACTCGAGGAAAGCAAAAGAGATGAGAGACCGGCGGGACAGATATCTTAATGCGCTTAACCGGGACCTGGATGACCGGATGGAGAAAGGCATTCACAAGCCTTGCATTCAAGCCAACGTCATCCTCGACAAGGAAGCGAAATTGAATAAAGAAGAACTCATCTCTATCAGCTTGACTATGCTCTCCGGAGGCCTTGACACTATCACCACACTCGTGGCTTGGAGTCTTTGTCTACTGTCTCGTCGCCCTGATATCCAAAAGAAGGCGACAAAAGCGATCCAAGAGATGTTCAGCCAGGATGAGCCCTTGTGCGACGCCCAAGATGACCAGAAGTGCGCATATGTCGCTGCACTCGTGAGGGAATGCCTGAGGTTCGAGGTCCCACCCACTGAATCCCCAGTTTGCTCGTCTAGCCTGAAAAACATGACTGACAATTTGCAGATATTATACCGTCCTCCGTCTTGCGCTTCCGCGGACCTCTATCAAAGACATCACTTATGACGGCAAGGTCATTCCGAAGGGCACGGTCTTCTTTCTGAATTCTTGGGCTTGTAACATGGGTAAGAGCCTACCAATATTGATTTTGCGCCTTGCCTGTTGATGCTGACAAGTACACCCTTAGACCCCGAAGTTTGGAATGATCCCGAGGAATTCAGACCGGAGAGATGGTTTGAACAGCCAGATGCACCCATGCTGACCTATGGCATTGGCTATCGCATGTGCGCTGGCTCACTACTTGCTAACCGTGAATTGTACCTGGTCTTCATGCGCACTCTGAACAGCTTCTATATCGAACCACATGACGACGTTGACTGGCATCCCATTAATGGGAACTCGGACCCCACCAGTTTGGTTGCGATTCCCAAGAAGTACAAGGTCCGCTTTGTTCCAAAAAATGAGAAAGCCCTTACACAAGCTCTGGCTTAACTGCACCGGTGGCGTTGTTATATCTAACACTTGCGATCTATACTTTTTTTTGCCAACAGAAACACAGTGTTCCTGAATGTAGAAGCATGTAGGAACACGTTCAGCTACTCCCTGGTAGTCAGTGGTTCTTCTAAGTATAGAGATTATCCCTAGCATGACTCATCCAATTGTTTCTGGCGCTTCCTTTTTCTGCCCTGTACTGGTACGGTCTCTTAAATCAGTTAAGCCTTATATGATTATACTCACTATAGTGTACACAAGATTAGTGTGAAGGTAGCCATGATGTATATACCACCTCATTGCCACCTCCCTCGTAAAGGCGAATGAAGAATAATGTCCAGGAAGATTGAACAAAAGGCAATAAGGGACATGTGCAGAATGCATGAAGGAGGCGTATCTCAGCAAAATAAATCAACATGAAGATGGAGGATAGGGCCCCTCAACCTCACCGTAGTATCGAATCTGTTCTGGACGTTGCCTCGTCGCAGAAACGTAAGCTGAGATTGAGCTGAAGATAGCGCTGAGGACACTTCTAAACCAGTATCACGTAGCATCCATTCTGTTGAGTGTGCATATATAATTGAGATACAAAGGATTGCTTCAGAGCCAAGAGAAGGACTCGAAGGCTGTGCAAGAAAGCTAGGAACATCTCGTCTTTCCTACATGTCTCGTCCGGTTGCAAACTTGGTTGTGATACCTCGCATGATTACGTTCACATTTCGCTCTGAGCGTTTTTTGACGAAACGGCGGTATATGAGCTCCCGGAAGAGTAGACGATGAGAAAGGCGGGAGTATCCATGAACATGAAGCAGTAGGTAGGCGATACAGGTTGGTGGCCATGCCAATGGGACCGGCGATACTGAGCAGGGCGACTGCTCTGGATCAGCAACATCTCTTTTCTGAGTTCTGTGGAGCTGTCGTGGCGCCAGAGGATAGCACTGAAGCAAGCTTTTCCAGGGTGCAGGGCCGCCATTCCGTCTGGTATCCACAGAGATCAACGGTATGAGGATTGAGTCGATGGCCATGCTGATGGAGTAGAAACATCGTCAAAGCTGGTGATTATTGGATATTGTGCTCTACATGGTGTTTTAAATGGCCAAATATTTAAAAAGCCACCCGCAGTAAACAGAATTATTGTGGTGGCTAGTGGTGTGATGAGATATGAAGTAAGCGCTTATCAGAGCTGATGTTTAATCTGTGGGGTATATTGCTAAGTAGGGTATTATGGAAGAAAAATGGCATTGATACCAAGAAGGATACCTACCTATGACAGACAATGAAAGCCTCTGGATCTTCCAAAAACCATCTACGAATGACAGATTAGCCGGCTAGTCACCCTGCATGGCATGTTCTCAGTGAGCTATCTGCTTTATAGAAGAAAATTCCAAGGGAAAGCCTCCATGGGCGAGCCAGGTATAGCCCCCTGTCATTGCTCGGCATTTCTCAGATATCACCACTTATAGACGGCGATATGACGAATCCCCAATCGGCTATGATGGGCGTAATGCACTCTGACCATAGACAGTCTAGCATAGGTGCAAATAGCATGCAAATTGACCTCCAGTCATACATATGCTCATGACAATAGCTATGGGCGAACCGCCACACATTACCTCCAAGCGCTTTCTGGCCTGCATCTGACTTGAAAACTTAGCAGCACTGAGCATGTGTCATGCAAGGAACACCAAAACTTCAGCTGCAAGAGGTCTCCCTTAGAAGCTTGATGCATCAGGAATCCAGATGCTAAATAGTAGTCTGCCGCTGACATGAATGAGATTCCTTGTCGACCACACAAGTCCACCAAACGTGATACTTCTGAAATCCCTGGCATTCACCGAACTTGTCTTTGGCGGTATTGAGCTTCAGGATTGATGGTGACATTGTCAAGGACAGGAGCATCATTAATATCCAGAATGCCTCACCCACATGCCAGGAGGAACAATATGTACACTCGTCAAGGATATGGCCACGTTGGGAGAGATAACGGCATGCCTCAGTCCTGCGGCCTTTCTCGTTCTTCCACAGGAATTCGCACCAGGGTTGCCGGCAGACGACGCTCAACCATTAAGCTGTTGTGAGTCTCAACGCTCGAGGATTGCTCTTTTGTGCTTGTGGAAACTGCAGCTTTTGCTAGGTGGGCATGCAACGTCAGTGATTTTCGCTGAAACAAGTTCATTGGGAAACAACGTTCAGCGCTTCAAGTCTCAAGAACATGCCGGACTTACTTGAAGCCATACTGATAGCCCGTAGAACGTTGTCCCAATTTGCAAGTACACAAGCCACAGCTAGAAGTCAAAAAATTGGGTCAAGTTAGCGAGTATATACACCCCTATCCGACTTGTTCTCTTTTCGTTCGGTGATTGAGTAAAGTTTCGCAAAACTCAACATTGTGCGAAAGCTGGGAACAACAGGTAACAAACCTTCTGTACCGTCCTTTAATGTCCCTATCTTGGTCTCCAAAACCTGCATTTGCATCGCCATGACACCACTTAGATCCCGAAGCTGTTTCAAATTTTCGAGCTCAGCTTTCTTGGAGGCAATGCGAGATGATAGAGCTAAAGTCTGCTGGTGTGAGATGGCATTATGATTGCTCTGTTGACGAATTGATGATGATGCCGATGTGCCAGCTAAAAATGTCGAAGTGGGACGCGACGATGAATACGCCATGACACCTGATAGATCAGTGCAGTTTGTGGTTTGTACAAGCAAAGGGTCAATTGCCCAAAGTGGAAAGAAATGAAATGAAAAGAGAAATACTGCTCTGACTATTAAAATCCAGTTGAGGAACTGAGAGGAGCAAACAAAACCCGCAGAAACGTGAAGTACACATGGATGGCTAGGGAACATATCAAGATAAGCGCCTTCCCTAATTCCCACTTGACTAGGCCCTATGTGGACAAACATCAACAACGGGACTTTGCCCAGTGCCCACACTACTCCGTACCGCCAACCACGGTCTGTTTACATTTCGCATCCGCTCCGTGGTCAAGAATACATGCCCATTGTCCCTCAGGGCCTGACAGAGTTATATAAACAGACCCGGATAATTAACTGGCGCTATCTACAATCTTCTGGCTATCCTTCCCCTCTCCACAGGTTTAGGTCTCCAGAAACTGACGAGGAGGCATTCCACTTGGCATGAACTTTCAGAAACATGGCTCGATTGAATGAATCAACAGCTCCGACAGAGCCCATTGATATCCGTAAGCTGCTCTCATCCACCTCTCCCTATTATCCAGCCTCCTCTCTCCACCGCCGCGTCCATGCCACTCCCTGATTTCTTATGTATATCACTTGTTTTTCTCTTCCCGAGGCTCTTATTGATTACTCGTGGGTCAATAATAGTGAAGCGACGATTTGTCCGGCAGAACCGCGAGATTGCTCGTGTCAATTCAATACAGTCCCTTCGTATTCGCACTCTTGAATCTGAGGTTTCCAATCTGCTCGCCGAGAATGTTTCCCTGCGGGAGCAGGTCATAATGCTGAGTCAAGAGTTGGAGAGGTTTGAAGCGGCCAAATCGCTCCACAATGGTGTCTATGATATCAAAACGAGACTAGACGACAAATTAGCAGAGTTGAGCAATCTTGTGAACGAGTTGGGCACTTTGCCACGCAGGTTGGGCAAGTCCTGTGACGACAGATCGGGCGCCGGAAGTTTGGGGCAACTCAAACCGTCGATGTTTGAATCCACATACAGGAAACCTGACCCTGAGATCAACTTGGTGTCTGAGGAACAGGGAGGTCTGCCGGTAATTCTCGAAGACAAATGCTACCCGCGAGAAACCCTTGAGTAAGTATTGGTCGAAATCTTGTTACACATATGTATTTTGTGCTTAGCAATATCAGGTCGCAGGAAATACGACGCCTGGTCGATTCTGATCGTGAGATCTGTACCGCTCCAGACACGGCAGAGGCGTCATTTCCACTATCGACAACCAATGGTGGGGAGGCTAGCCCACAGGCTTCTAAGAAAGTCTTTGAAACTATCAAAATACTGGACGTTGATGAGAGATTGGACGGCCCTGCATTATTCTCAAACTTGGATACAAGGAAGAGACAAAAGCCAGACCCTTCCACCTCGAATGAGATCCCACCAATGTCGGGCCGGTCCTCGGTTACTGAGCTGGACGAGACAATATCTCCAAAGAGGGCTGGGCACAAGAGGAAATTTGGTGCAGATTGTGAAGACGAATATCTTTCGACTAGTACAGGTGACGATTTCCAATACAGTCGGCCGCGTCACTCATCGCCCAAGAAAGTCGAAGGACGAGTGTCTACTCGTAAAAGGAATTCACTACTGAGAGAGGACGCGCAGCTGAAGCGCGATTCTAGTACCCCCAAAGCAACTCAACGCAAAGCTCTTGAACCAAGTATGGAAACTCTGTTATGGTTTAAAATCAGCATGAACGGCTTGTTAACTGTATGAATCGCAGAGAACGGCAACCTTAGTATCACCTCCCCGGACGAACTCCCCCTTATCGCAATCCATGATGGAATCCGCAAGAAATCGCAAAGACAGAAAGGGCCTCTCAATCCAGAAGAGCCCGGAGAAGAATCAATTTGCCAGCAACAGGGTAGCTTCGTTGGGAATTTCTCCCGCCAATGCTCGAATGAAAATGAGCGAGAAGAAACCAATGCTCGCGATATAGTCGTACTTCCAGACAAGGAGGCACAGAAACCAGAACCATTGTACCCTGCAAAAACTGTATCTATATTTCAAAGTGGCTCTGGAACGACTTCTTCATTATTAAGCGCCCCCCCGTCACGCCCAACAAGACGTCAAAGATCTGTCGTGAGCTATGCGGAACCGAACCTAAGGGACAAAATGCGTCGGCCCACAGACGAATTTGTTCCCGCTGTCGGGGGGAAACGGCTGAGCAGGACATCGAACACAGCTGCACTCCCCGAGCCTACAGATGAGGGATGTGTGGGATTACAGACCGATGTGAGCCAAGCTAAACAACTAGAGGGTTCGCCAGGAACCACCGGGGAACCTATATCACCATTGGAAAAGTCTTCAGGTCGCTCATCACGTTCTCCCATACACATGGTTTCTCTCAGAAGAAGGAAGAACACATCGGCAAAGAATGCGACCTCTGACGAAGAGGACCATGATACTCTACAAGCTGAGCTGTTATCGGGCGCTAGTGGGAGACCAAACTGCTCCGTTGAAAACAGCAAGCCCGGAGGCTGCGAGGACCAGAATACGATCCGCGTTTCGGATGCCGAGAGAAACAATGAGCTCGACCCACAATCTACAAGTGATACTGACTTCTCGCAAAGACATGTTGTTGCAAAAGAGTCGGGGCCAGCTCCTGGTAGAAGCAAACAACCTCGACGCCACTCCTCACATCTTAGGACATCCACCCAGAATACCCGATGCGAATTAAGGACGGGTCTGCATTTGACTCAGACGTTGTCGACATCGGGTGCTTCTTCCGAAGTATCGGCGGCAACAACGCCGGCTGAGAACGCCGGCACCGATAGCCCAGTACTGAACGAAGAATCCAGCTCAAATTCAAAAGCGATAGTTGGAGGACGGTTGAAACGTGGGCAGCGGGCAGTCGCTCGAAGAAAAAGTATGATGCTATGAATCAGCTATTCCATGAGGCGGCACAAATTTGACAATATGACATCCGATCGAACACCGATATCGATGTTTGCGGTGATTGATTCTAGCTCAGTCTAAATCCCACTGACGAGACTCTGTGGCAGACACCACACTAAATCCATGTTCATAGTTCGTAATCTTGTTCCATTTCTCCTCTGTCTTCTTTTTATTCGTTCTCTTTTCCTTCCATTGACGGGGGGGGGATATGAAACAGGCACCCAGATAGAGGTCTGCATGTTTGTAGCCCACTTCCCTGAGTGACTCTTCCTCTGGGTCAATGGTGCCAACTGTTATCGCATACCACAACGTCCAGATGGAAGACATGGGGACTTATATGCCGCGGTATTTGCAGATGAGGAGTGGTGTTGATGCATGGGCTACAACCCCGGATTTTTGGGTTGGCCCTTTACTTTTGGCATTTTTTCGTATGCATTCGGACTTGGTTTCCTCTTCCCGTTTCTCCTGCCATGGCGTTTTGTGCAAGAGGGGGTACGTCCTTTATTCAAAGACCGGCTTGGGGGAGATTGACTCGGATCTCCTGCATTTTGTTTGTGGTTTTGCGCGTGGCCTCTGGACTCGCGGCAATCTACATCGCTGTCACTTTCCGACTCGGAGGAACTCGATGTCGAATCATCAGACTCGGAACTGCTTTCCCCTACAGGCCGGGTTTTGTGGTAGATGCAACATACTGTATGGGTTAAAGACGGCCCGTCATTATCGTAATTAGCGTCCAATCTGAACCGCATGGAACATGATGCGAGTGATGGCGAATATAGCCTTATTGGAATGAAGGGGAAAGAGTAGAAGGAAGAGAGAGTAGAAGTAACCAAATCATTGTGGACGGCTTTTATGGCCTATTCCAAATTCTCTTACCTTTCGAGCTCTTTTTACCCATTCCCTCGTTGTCTACAACATCTTCAGTCCACCTTATATGTCGCGCCGTTGTTGCATCCCCATTCTGATCTGTGGCGATACTGTCATTCTCGGCCCTCAATCTCAGTGTGCCCGAAATAAGGACAGAGGAATGGTTTTCTTGTGAGACCGCTGGGGATATCAACTGAATATGAGAGCTGGATGCTGTATTTGAGGGCACCTGACTAGTGCGTGACATCATTCATATATATAAGTCAAACTCTTCTTTGAGCTGTGGGTTTGAAGTGAGGGAGGGATGTGCAACATATACTCTTTGCGGGGCTAGTCAACCTAGCATACTGTGTCCCTCACCGCTTTTATTCTACTAGTACTGGCAGACATGTTTTCCCTCCCAATACAATAATAATAAAATGATATTTCTAGGTAGCTACATACCCTAGTAGCTGCTGATGGCTGATTTGATTAGCACAATCATAGTTACTCCCAAGAGCTACTGTCATGCTACTGTCATATGGAGCACACTGAACGCCAATCTAACAAAAAGAGTGAGGTCATATACATAGCCATGCGCCGTACGCCTTTAATTAGATATCAGAAAGTTCAATTCTATGTTCAGGTTGCCGGAATCGCCATAAGCATCTCAACCGGCCGCCCCCTTCTCCAACCATCCTCCTCGGGGCTGTTAGCGTAGATCGCAGAGGAAGTATACCTGGCGTAAACAAATTAGTAGAAGCACTACGCCCTTAAATGGCGATTTGTTCTCGCTAAAGCACAGCCCATGGATGAGCGTCAGGCAAGAAGAGCGGAATTACTAAGAGATAGTACGTCGGTAGGCGGAAAGAGACCCAAAACCACGTCCATATCGGATCCAAGCGAAGGGAAGTTAAGATGGCAAACGGAGCAAGCCCTGTTTGTCACGTAGCACGCTGAAACAGGCATAGAATGAGCAGTAAAGCCTCAAAGCCCATAAAGGGACCAACCGTTGAGACCGTCATCTGGAGTCACCAACCCCTCTAAGTCTTTTGTAGCTCTATCTAATGAGCTCACTGGCAGTTCAGTACGGAGTTCCAAGTCGAGTCAGAGCTCATCCTCCTGATCCATTTCAGACGGCTTCAACAGACCTCCAACTCTCATTGCCCGGTCTCGTTCTGCAGCTTGTGCATCCCGCAAAGCCTGCTCTCTTTCCTCTGCGTATAGCTCTGCATTATCACCTGCGAACTCTTTCAAAGAGATCAAAAAATCCCGCAAGTGAGTCTTGAACTTGTTGAAGTCATCATTGAAGGTAAACAAGCCAACTACAAACTGCTTGATTTGTATTCTGCGACAGGTTCAGCACCGCGTCAATCGAGACCAGGCTAGCAGCCAAACTTACTCCTGAAGATTCTTGAAAGCATTTTGCAAGAGGTTCGCAACGTATTCTTGCAAGAAGTCTTTGTTGGATGTCCCCAGCGGCGCTTGCTCGGGGGAATAAATGGGTTCCTGAACTTTCCCGGATTCGATGAAGTAAAACATACGCGACAGTAGCATTGCTTGAGATTTAAACCCTGCCAGAAGGTGAGCGTAAGCTTCTCTAATACCATGGACGTATACGAACCTGCTTTGTGGTCGCTGTCGGTAAGGACGAAGAACACGTCTTGCAGAATTGGAATGAAAAATTGGCGAAAGAAAATACTCGACGTTTGCGTATCGGTCTCGGCCATATTGTTCATCAGTTCGAGGCACATTGTAAGGCCGGTATTTTCCACTTCACGATTGTCATGTTTACTGGCCCACATGCAAGAGTCGATCACAAACTTGAATTGCGTGGCATCAAGTTTGAGTAATGCTGGGAAACAGTATAGATTGATCGCTTGGAGCAATTTAAAGAATTGCACACGGTGCTCCGGATACTCGTGGAAGTCTTTGTTGATCATCTCGAGGGTGCATTCGAAAACGCTCTCCATGATCAAGGGAACTTTGTCTTCCATAAGGCTCTGATGAGGCAAGTCAGACCCGACGACATTTCCAAAAGCGATACTTGCCCGAGAAATGTTACATACATGTAGTTTATGGATGATTGTGGTCATGACGTTCAGCACCTCTGCTTCCCGCGCGTCGGGAACATTTCGGTTATAGTCTACCAGAACAGCCTCGAGAAGTGGCGGGACCATGTTTGCGTTGACCATCTCCAGATCATCGGCTTTCTGCACATAGGTATCGATAAGTTTAAGAATCTCCTTTTTGATGGTCCGAAGCCCTCGGACTTTCGGGGTCTTGGTGGCGATGTTGCCTGCTGGACGTTAGACAATGACGACGCAGAAAAAAAGATAGCAAGAGCCACAAGTGTATTTACCATCGTGCGCAACGGCATCGTTAATGAGTTGGCTGGAAGCCCGATACATATTCAACATGTCATGGTAGATCCGACCAATCTGGGAATAGAAGTAAGTGCCAATCGAGGAACATGCTGCGACGTTCGTTTTCATAATATTGCCGATGATCTTTATCGTTTCTCCATCCTGGAGGATGGACGGGTCTTGATTCGCCTGAGCTATAATAGCATCCCATGCAGAGTTGGGAAGGGACATCAAGTTCTCAATCAAACGATCCTGGAGGCTTTTCTGACCTTGGGCAGAAATCATATAGCCGCATGCTTCGTAGAAAGTGTGAACTTGCTGTGGCGAAAGGTCACAGGTGATCTTTCTCATATTTCGAACAATTTCCTCAATAAATGGCTCGTTTTCCCCAGGCTGAAGGGCGACAAAGTGGCGCCTGCACTTGTTTGCGATCTTGATAAATGTATCACACGCCATGTCTTGGACACCTGATATGGGTCAGAAAGAAAGGCACCGGACATCGGCTGCGGAACTGACCTTCGTGTGTCTCGTGCATAAATTCAAACAACTTGTTGACAACCGTCTTCAGGAATTTCCAATGGGCCTTCAAGAAACGCGGGTACTGCCCTACAATATACATAATGTTACTGGCCACGACCGCTTTGTTGTCTTTTCCTCGCTTCATTTCCGTGAGACCAAGAAGGTCCTTGATCACAGTGACAAGGAAGCGCTTTTCAGTCTCCTCATTCATGGCCCCAGAGATTGACCCAATGGCCCAACATAGAGTATTGCAGTTAGCCCATGACCATTCAGACCCGTCCACCTGTTTAGCCAACTTCTCGATCATGATATTTTCGGTGTCAACGACGTCAAGATGTGTCAAATAGACCAAACACTCTCGTATTGTCTTGTAGAGCTGGATCGTGTCACTTTCTTTGACGAATTCGCGAACAATTTCGCCCTCGTCGTTTTCAACAATCAAGACTTCTTCTGGCCTGACCATTTTCTCGATCATCACAGTACGGAGGTTTGATAGGACCTCCTCGTACTTATGCTTGCGAAGGGGGTAATTGGCAAGGGTACTAGGGTGTGGTGCCCCTCCGTTTGACAAACCACTAACACCCATGCTAACCAGGGGATTAATATCTGTGATTGGAAGTTGTTGCATCTCCTCGTATAGCTCCTGCACTAGTCTTGTCCAGTACTCCAGGCAAATCTTGAAGACCTCTCTGTCGTCAATCTGACTGATACGGATGAGGTAAAAATGAGCATGTGTGAGGTAGTCCCGGTTCGGTAACTTTTCAATGAGCTGAGCACAATGGTCAGTATTCCTGTCAACGTCCACCCTCAACGCTATTTTACCACACTTACATTTAGATGAGCGCTGAAAAAGCTGGAGAGGAACAGTGCTAGGTTGAGGACAAACTCCTGATCCCTTGAATTGCTTTTAGCATATGTTTGCTTTAGGTCCATCGAAAGTGGAATAGTCTTCGAGACTATGGTCAACGTCTCAGTGAACATTTGGACCAATCTTTCATCGTAATTGTAAGGGTTGCCAATTTGCAGTCCGCCAATCTCTGTGAGACACTTCAATGTCACATTCCGAAAATCGGGAACGTCCAGGAAACGGGTTAAGAGCGTGTTGATGATGGGAGTCTCAAATATGTATCCCAGGGGTATCCAATTCAGGAATCGAAGGAGGGTCTCTAATGTGGCCTTGATCAGACTCGGCTGGTTTGCTGTATTCAAAACTTCAGAGCACAGTTGGAAGATTGATGAGAATTCCTGTGTCATCGAAGTCTTGAGATTTCTGGCCTTGACAGAGGTCATCTGATCCTGCGAGAAGTCAAATACTTCCTCTGATAACAAGCGAAGGATGGCCATATTGTTTTCGCAGATAGAGAGACTCGTATGACAAGACGAGATTATTTCATTGATGAAAGTCGGCCAATTGTGGGGCCACTCTTGCTTGAGAATAGAAACGAGGACCAGGTTGAGCTTATTCAAGAAGGCGCGCTCACTTCTGAGCTTCTCTTCTGATTTGGAATTTTCGATAATGAAGTTGACGATGAAATTTCGTATGCCTGAGTGATTTTAGCCATGGGTTGACAAAAGAACACGCGACTTCTGCTGCTTACCAAGACACTGCTCTCTTGGTAGAACTTTCCATCTAGTCATAATCACATCGTCAAGGACCTGCAGCGCGAGGTCTAGCATGGTCAGCATATGATGTATCAAGTGAAGCAAGTAAAAGGAGAACACGCGAGACATTGCCTTACACTTCGTTTGCAGATACGATGATTCTTGGAGTATATTACCCACAATCAACCAAGCATCCGGATTTTGCTTGAACTGGTTGTCAAAAGTGAGTTAGTTAACCTACAAATATTTAGTCTTGAGTTTAGGTAATACTCACTTCTGTTAGAGTCTGCTGGGCTTGCTTTTGCTAAAGGGCAAGTCGCATTGTAAAGTTAGCAATCCAAGCTCTTGAAGCAAAATTATACGTATTCGCCAATTTCATTCTGGTGCCTCACCAAATCTCCTTTGCCCTCGTAGAAGGCCCGGACAGTGTTGTCCAATTCTTGTATGGAAACAGACATCCTGTCTCAAGGACTGACGGCCCCGTCCGTTCTACAGCTTGACCACTGAGATACGTGCTAGACGCGTATGATGCACAGGAGAAAGCCTTACTGAACACTTGATGGGCGCTGGTTAGTACGGGGTTTCGGAAGGTTGATCGGGCGAACAAGAGGTTTGGCGGGGTTGAGGCTCTTTTAGAGGGGTTGACCGGAGCTTTGGGATTTCAAAAAGCTCTCGATTCCAAAGTATAAGTTGACAGTGATTTCAGAAAGACACAGGGTATAGCGGGGCTTGGTGCTTGATGTAATTGTAGAGTTTGTAAAATGGAGATATAGATGAAAGCATCTGAGTGTCAATTATTGGCGGTGAAGAGAGTCTACTCCTGTTGCAATTGTCAGGTTGGTGTGATGTATCAACTATCTAAATTGCTTACTAAGTGTCTTGTAGCTACGGAGTACTCACTACTGAAGACTACTAAGGGCACATTAACTACTATAATCCGCAGCCTTTCTTCTACTTCAGGTGCCTCACCAATAAAAAGCTCGATTGATTATCTATATTGGCAGTAATAGTAAAGATCTACTATATATCATGAAAAAGCATAGCGAAATTAATCTCAATATTCGATTCTCTTGCATATGTTGATATCAACATATCCACATAATAATGTGCGCACATAGTAATTGTCCCAGAATAAGAGCAATAATAACTGCCACTTGCAGAGACTAATTTCTCTGGGCCTCTATGCAACGCTTAAGTTATGGTTTAGATAATTAGGTATTATGATGGAATTGCCGCCGAATGGACTCGAATTATAGTCCTGGGAAATTTCGCCCTAGACAATAAAATCACCGTACTCGAGTCTTGAATTTGATGCAGCTAAACACCACAGGGAGATGGTCAGAATCCTTGGTTTCTGACAATGGCCAATCTCTCTAGGAGACGTTGCCGCCAGACATACGGCGGTACCCAGACAAGATCATGAGACTTACCAGCTTATGTAGATTGCCTATAGACACCTTATGGAAGGTATGAAGACTATGGCGATTGGGCCACTGAAATATTTGTGGCACAAACGCATAGACGTGATTCAAGACCTTAAAGCTAGTTAATAGTAATCACATCACCCAGTCCCAAGTATAAAGACTATATAAAGACTATAACTTTGAATACTCTCTAATTAGTTACATAGGCAGAAATGAAAGGTGTTAAATAGTAGAAGACTACTCCGTAAAGAGCTAAAAAAAACCCAGTAGTTAAGGTAGGTAGCCTTAGGTACAGTAAGTAATTTAATACTTTGTGAATGCTTTGACTACCTACCTTAGGTAGGATTAGTAAAAGACCGGTGTTGCTCAGAGTGGAGGCTTGCCAGTCTGTAGATGTCCAGGAAGTATGTAATACATACTCTTATGCTGGTTATTTGGGACAATCCCTAAGGCATATAGAGCTCAGCAGCACTTATAGCTCTTATATTGTCTCTACCCCCTTGATCAAATATGAAGGGAAAGTGAGATTCTCTTGGTGCATAAGTGATTGGGTAAGTTAGTAAATATAGGTTAATAGAGAGTACAGAGTACCTTACCATTCTTACTCTGTACATAAACGCGCTTTCCATACAGAGTACATCATGCTCATTGAGCAGGAAAAAATAACCATGATGGCGTCTCGCCCAAATGACAAGCCAAATAACTATGCGCTATGAAACTCAATTTCTCCTACACATTTATTAGACTATTAGTAGATACAGAGATTTGGCATTTCCATATATAGGTATGGCACCCCTGGTATTGCCTTGACTTCCATTGACAGCTTAGTAGCCCGGTCAGGTAGGCCCATTCAATGAGATCTAACCAGTCATAAAGGTTTTGTCGCGCAGTCATGTATGTAAGTCAAGTAGTTAGATAAAGATTACCTATCCACAGTGATCTACCCACTCTAGATAGATTCTCCATACTCTAGAGAGATGTACTATTAGGGTGTCTGATCAGCATCTTGTACCTATTAGTTCAATACACTCTAGGCGGTAATTCTTTTGCCCCTACTCTGTACACTGTATCTATATAGCTACTACTACCAGTTCATTCTAATAATATAATTTAGTCTATTATATACTCTGTGTTATCTATGCCTTAGATACCTCCTGTTCCCAGTCCTTTATTCCCTCTTCTACTCCTCTCTTCCTTATGCCTTTCATGATCCTCTTCTTCAAGCACTCTATCTCATAGTCACTGAATTTTCAAGGTTATCTCTTCATTGTGATGATTGGTGACTAGGCATATCTGTCTTCTATCTTATATATACAGATTAGGTACTGGTGTTGTCAGATCACTCATCTGTAGTTGTCTGATCCCAGGTGATTTATGATTGACCTGCGCGATCTTCTGTCTGAGGTGGTTGGGATTGGTCTCCAGGCTACTATACTAAGGTACTATTTTATCATCCTTGACCCCTCATTGCGCATTATTCTGCATTCGCTACTGCGGATTCTACCTAGCTCTTTAACCCAGGGCATACTTGTTTTTCTCACCCATACGAATATTGATACTTTGATTTTCACCCGGGCAGTCGTCCTCTTCTGAATTGCCTGACCAATAACACTTCCTTCCTCCATATATTGGCCATCATTCATCGCGCGCTCTCGTCGAAAGAAACCAAGTGATTTGGCCAACCTTCTTTCTTTCTTTTCTTTTCTTTTCTCTCTTTTTTTTAATCGTTCTTATGTCCTCATCTTGTTTGGCTTGTTATCCTGATTCAACCAGCATTTGAAATACCGCAAGCAATTTGGTAGTGCAGTGACAACGTTCACAACATCCACCTTTATTCGACTTGGCTCTGAACAACTATCCCAGCGAATATCAGCTGTTTGTCTTCCCACCCTTCTTGAGATTTCGGGCTGCTATCCTCACTGGTCGATGCGAAATAGATATAAGACAACAAGAAGAGTTTTCCAGGTTCAGATTCGATCAGTCAAAATATCATAGTTCCATCAGCCAGACTGAAAGGATCCGCGCAGCGAGCGTTCGCGTCATCTTGATACCATAGCTTCATTTGCCTTTCGAGAATGAGCACCATGGCGTCCACTTCAATGACGAATGGTCACGAACCCGAGAAGAGGTCTAAGTTGGAGAACCAGAGTCCTCCTCGGTTTACTGCGGTGAATGGAAGGGAGATCACGGCGCCAATGACCGTCGGCTTTAGCCCTACTGCCGCCGACTCATCTAGCAACGAAGACATATCGAATAATCGAGGCAGAGTCGAACTCGACACTCCATCTCGAACGGAAGAACGCGCGCGAGATAACGGAAACATTGAAATTGACCCGGACGAACGATCGATGCAGCGTTCCACTTCCCATAGTGGCTCATTATTAGGAGGGCAAAGTGCAAACAAGCGGAAGAGGTCAGAAATTGATGAGCGACAAGAACTTCCGTCATCATCTTCTAAAGGCTCTCGAAGTCCAGCCATACGATCAGATGCCGCTACGGACTCTCACACCCAACCGCTTGCTCTCAACATCGCTGTCTCGCCCCCTGGCTCCCATGAGCTCAAACAGCCTTCACCGTCAATTGCCCAATCAGACAGAAATGAGGATTCACGATCCGCCTCAGCAAATGCTTCTTTGAATGACTATGATTCACATCTGGTGCAACAGGCACAGCGCGCACAACAGATTGACCCCTCAGATGCTCAGTTGGCAGAGGTACTCCAGCGCGAGTCCCAGGATCACGACGGACAATGCTTACAGCAGAAGAGCTGGAGTGCGACGAATCGCTCGACAGAAGGATCTACACAAACCAAAGAGTCATTACCTACGTTTTCGCAAGAACAGCCACAAGCGGCTATACAAGTCGCCCCTAAGCGAAAGCGCGTCTTCAGCAACCGAACCAAAACTGGCTGCATGACATGTCGCAGAAGGAAAAAAAAATGCGACGAGCAGCATCCTGCGTGTAAGTTATTCTTCGCGCCTCTAGCAAGGAATCTGGAATTTCTTCGTACTTTTTGCCATGATCGCTCAACATTTGTTCACAGGCAACAATTGTCTCAGAGGTGGCTTCCTCTGCGAAGGTTATTCGTCCCGAAGCACGTGGCAGAAGCCCTCAAGTGCGAAAACTCCAGTTCCGTTGCAATCAAAAGAGGGCTACCCAGATCTAGGGGCGCAGTACGTGCATGACTTGACCCAGCAGCATGAACGACAGCAAACTCTGGCAGAACAACTTGACCCGGGAAAGATGAGGCCAATTGTCACTGATGAGAACGATCGTGTCGCTGGGCAGTTCAATGCAAGCCCGACAGGAGCAAATTCGGCTCGTGGGCCATGGTCTAAACGAAGTTGGCCTAATGCAGGCCATGCTACGTTTATACCTGATCATGTAACCAAGTCTGACTATCGAGAGGTCCCATCGATACACGAACTATCGCGTGAGGGACATGCGAAAGGTGACTATCAGATTGTCCCATCGATTCGAGACATATCACACGGATCACATCAAAAACCTGGGATATCCATCTTTCAAGGTGGTATTGATCAACGGCCAGCACATACTGGCACTGTGGACACGAGCAGCCCGCAGGCACAGGCTCGGATGGCTCTTAGTATTGAGCATCAGTTGTCAAATCGTGCTGTAAGCGAAGAATCGGAAAAGGACAAGATGATTCGCGGCGAGCTCTATCGCCCTTTCGATATTCATCTTGTGGAGGAGCGAGAGCGATGTAAAGCCGCCATCTGGCGGTTCAACAATGCTTGTAATCCCGTTTCAGGCTTAAGTGCGAAGGAACAACATCGTCTGCTGAAGGATGTTCTGATTCCGCCTGGTTCGGTTGTTGGTTCTCCATCAAGCGTGGGATCACTGAGACCCGCCGGATCTATTGGGCAAGGCGCTGTTGTTGAGTCACCTTTTCAATGCCACTATGGGTTCAACATTCACATTGGCGAGGACGTTATGATATCAGAAAACTGTCTCTTCGTGGATGACTGCCCTATCACTATCGGTGCTCATACATGGATAGGTCCTCGGGTCACTATTCTCAGTTCAATGGCCCATGCAAACATGCAAGAACGGAAGGGCTCTCAAAGCCGCTATCAAGGTCGCCCCGTCACAATCGAGGAGGACTGTTACGTCGGTGCCGGTTGCACAATATATCCCGGCGTGCGTCTCCGGCGCGGTGCTTATGTGGCACCGGGCGAAGTAGTCAAAACTGACATTGTAGCATATGGTTTTCAGGGTCTTAAACCAAGCTACATGTGATGTTGAAACTTTTAAGATATGTCGTCATGATTATGAGTGTCAAATAATACAACTACGTTTTTCGAGCCATGGCCAGCATTTGCAGTTCGGTGTTAGCAAATCTCTGTTTGATATGTACATATGTAGCGTCTGCAACATAAGGCGGGTTCTCACTTCGCTACTGTGCTGGCACCTCACCTATATGTGCCCGGGAGTCTTTTTTTTTTTTTTTTTTTGTATGTCCTACCTCTCTCTTCATGACTTTCTTCGCCTAGTCGGAAACAGACCCATACATTACACCAGAAGTGGGGGGAAGAAGCGCCTCTTGAGATGCCGAAGGATACTCTACTGATATGTCTACCAAAAGCGAAGCGGCCTGGCCGACAAGTGATGTAATGGTATGAGTTTATGTTTAATACAAATCTCGTTCACATGTTTCGGTTCTGTTGCTGCCAAGTTGACGTTGGAGAAAGGGAGGCAAGAGGGAAGGCATGAAGTACTTATGCTACCTTAGGACAGTCCTACAGCCTAATTAATATTGATCATAATCCTGAGCGCCTTTCTCTCTCTCTCAACTGACTCGATATAATTTTGCGCATCAACGAACATGACAATGACTGACAGGAGATGCGAAGAGAAATATAACAAGTAACTGGCTAAAGCCAGTCCAGGAATTCTGGTACAAAATAGCTCACGATAATTCCGGCACCGGCTCTGAGAATCCCCTCCGTACTTTCAAACGCCATCGATTTCAAATCGAACACTCCAGCCTTGGCAGCGGCATGGATCATAGCATACTCACCACTAACCTGATACGCTGCAATTGGCATATCCTTTGCAAGCTCCTTTGCGTCTCTGATGATGTCCAGATAACTGCTTGCAGGCTTCACCATTATGATGTCCGCGCCTTCACCCACGTCTCGTTGAATCGCTCGCCGGGCGAGTCCGCGGCCACCCGGTGGCAGCTGATAACATCTGCGGTCCCCGAAAGACGGGCAAGAACCGGCTGCATCACGGAACGGTCCATAGAGACAACCACTGAACTTTGCACTGTAGGACATTAAGAGAACACGATGGGCTAAGCCTGCTTCAATCAACTTCAGTTTGATGGCGCGAACTCTCCCATCGTTCATATCGGATGGAGCGACGCAATGCGCACCGGCAGTAGCATAGGCAAGGGCGACATCCGAAATTCGATCAACAGATTGAGCGTTATCCAGCGTCCCATCCTCTCGTAGTATACCGCAGTGACCATGAGATGTGTACTCGCAGAGACAAACGTCGGTCACAATATAGAGATTAGGAAAGCGTGACCTGAGAAGACGAATAGCCTGAATGACAGGACCAGAAGGATCATCTGCAGCAGTACCCAGGGCATCCTTTGCGGTCGGGTGAAGTGGGACCCCAAATAGAATAACAGAGCGCAGGCCCTTTTGGACAAGTGGCTTGAGGAAAGTAACAAGGCGGTTCAAACCCCGGCGATGCTGATTAGGCAGTGATGGTATTGGAGTCTCTTCATCAGGGTTGTCTGTGATGAATAATGGATAGATGAGCATTTCCTGTCTTGAAATCAGAAAAGACCCCAATCACAAAAGCTTGGATCAATGCCGTAGTCTTCAAAGCATGAAAAATTGACTGACTACTTTGGCGCCACGAACCTTCGTCAATTGTCTTTCAGCTTGCCATGATCTGGTCAGCGGATGGCTGTATCCAGCATGGAGCTGGCTTGAAATGTCACCAGAAATGCTGACACTTGTAGCGGCTGTGCTTGTATATGACCGAGCAGTGGCCTGAGACCGCGTGTGGGATATTTGAGAGCTCCGATCATCATGAGCATCCCTAAAGGCAAGATCCGACACAAGATTTGAGAAAGACATTGGGTGAATGAGGTAATAGATGTAGGGGGAGTTGAGCAGTTTGCAATTCAAGGGTCTATAGTCTTGCTCTGTTCCTCTCTCCACTCCTCTTCCTTATCATTTCCTGCCCAGTGATGGTAATTGTGCAGATGCACTCTTAAGGATTATTATAAAGGGGGATGATATAGCAACACCCCCTGGCGCCTTACCGACACCCCGTAGGTTCCAGCGACACCCCTCTTACCTGATCTGGTAAGGTTTGGTCATGTGATCAATGTGAATTGGGAAGCAAACTCGGCAGAGGATAAAAGTAATTTGATTTACTATATAATTTTAATGATAGGATTTGCAGGTTTAATTTATTCTAATTCTAAAATCAATTATATATTCTCTTGACTAATCAGAAGCCTGTATTTAAAATTAGATGATGCTTGTCATTCCCTCTAGAATGCTAATAGTAAGCCCCCTGCCTATAGCTTTGCCCGCACCTATATCTATATCTATAGCCCCTATGACCTTGCTGCTGTGTAAGCTGATCAATAGCTTTCTATATATTAGTCTACTACTATATATCTTAAGTATTAGGCATAGTGAGTCTATATATAGTAAACTATAGGGGTTATGTAGGTAGCATATAACCTATAGAGATATTATTACAAGGACTTTAGGCCACACATTCTGTGTGGCCTCAGCCCTTTCCAGAGCAGCAGCTAGAAAAGGGAGGCAGTGCGGCAGACAGAGCGGCAGAACCACCTTAAAGTGTGAACTTCACCCAAGCACGCAATTATATATATGATCTACTAAGAGGTGAGTATCTTATACCTTAATAATTAGTTTACTAATAAAGATATTATTATTACTATACTATCTACTATTTAGTTAATAGTATTCCCTAAGTACTCTTATAATTTTAATTACCTTACTAATTAAGATAGCCTAGTAGGAGTACTTTTTATATATATTACCAAGTAAAGATAGTTTCTACTAAGAGTATCCCTAATATAAGGTAATTATAACCCTAATTAATTACTAATAACCCTAATATCTAGATAGTAGAAGCTAGTATAGCTATATTAGTAGAGGAGTAATCTATTATTCTGTTAGGCTATATAAATATACCTATTAATTAGTATATAAGGGGAACCATTAAAGCTCTTAAATAT